GACTCCATGGCACATAACAACAACAATACCTTCCAGCATCATAGCAAAATGGAAGCCACCACATTATGATAAACTAGCAGATGGGTGGTGGAAATAAACATAATGACATGCTATGTTTGGGAAAAAAGGCATAATTTCCAGTTTTACCAAGGCTGCATTGACTATGGGCACTTTCATACACTTCTGTTAGGAGTGAAAATTTCATCCTTTCTGAAAAGCAGTTCATGAATAAATATAACAAGAAAAAAGAAAGACTTAGTTATAAAGATCTGTCATTAGGTTTATGTACTAATCAGGTGAAGGGCATCTCCTAAGTCTGATAATGGGCAGATAGTTGTGGTTTATGGTGCGTCCATAGGGTAGAGTATATTTAGCCATCAAAATTTTTTGATGATTTGGGAAAACATTCATGATTTAGTGTTTATTTCTTTTTCAAGCAGGGAATAGAACTATATGCAAATGTGAAGTTAAATGTGTAAATATATTTACTAAGTAAACTGTGTCTGCAGAACAAAGCCCCAGTAGAAAATCCCCAGAACGTTAACACTAATCATGTTGAGGCAGCAAGATTATGGTGATGCTTCTTTTCTTTATATTCTTTGTAATTTCAGCTAACTTATAGTGAATGTGATGAGTTCATTAATAATTAGAAATTATACTTTAAAAATACTATTCTGACATTTCTTTTTTTAACTCAGGGAAAGAATTGGTTGTAGAAATTAAATATCTCTAATTTTACCTAGGAAGAAGAGCTGAGAAAAGCCATTTTAGTGGTGTTTGCAAATAAGCAGGACATGGAACAGGCCATGACTCCCTCAGAGATGGCAAATTCACTTGGGTTACCTGCCTTGAAGGACCGAAAATGGCAGATATTCAAAACTTCAGCAACCAAAGGCACTGGCCTTGATGAGGCAATGGAGTGGCAAGTATCGTGTTTCTAAGAGCCATCTATCCGTTCGTGTGTATGTGCGTAGATGTGTGTGCACGTGTGTAATTTCCCTTTAGTTCTGAGATGCAATTCAGATTACACAGCAGACCTTTCTCCCGTTGGTCTTCCTGTGCTTCTGCCTTTATTTCTGCCACACCAGCCTAATGACAGACATTTACATAGGTCAGCTCTCTGCCACTTTTTAGCTTTTTCTCTGCCTCACATCACTGTTCAGGTTGTTGTTGTTGTTATGTGCCGTCAAGTCAGACCCGACTCATACCAACCCCTCCTTGGGTTTCCGAGGCAGTATCACTACGGAAGTAGATTGCCCAACCTTCTTTCTGAGGAGTGGCTGGTGGATTTGAACCACTAGCCTTGTGGTTAGCAGTCAAGTGCCTTAGGCACTATGCTACCAGAGCTCCCCTGTTCAGGTTAAGTGTCTCTTTTCAAGACCCTTTCCTGACACACCCCGCTGCCTCACCACACACACAGAGGTACATGCCCTTGTCATAGATAAGCTTCACAGTAATTGTTACACTGTTTTGTAATTGTTAGTTTGATTTTGCATTTACGTAGTAGATGATTATCCTCTTGAGGACTGAGACTGGTGTTCACCTCTGACTCACCCACAGCTAGCCTGGCCGTTGTAGTAGCCTGGAACATAGTAGATATCTGGCCTTTTTGGACTATGCCTTCAAAAAATAAATTCAAAGCTAAGATGTTGTTAGTTGCCATTGAGACAATTGCGACTTATGGGAACCCCATGTGTGCAGAGTAAAACCACTCCATAGAGTTTTCAAGACTGACCTTTCAGGAGCAGATCTCCAGGCCTTTCTAAAGAGGCACCTTTCAGCGAATAGTCAAACACTTAGCCGTTTGCACCACCCAGGGAACCTAAATACCCTCAGCTAAATACTCAGCTAAAATACCCTTGAATTGCGTCCATAACCTTATTCCAGCCTTGGTACCCTTCATCATTTTAAATGCTTTGGAATTTACCCCAACTACACAGTTTATACCTCACTAGGATTGTGAAGATAGCTGGGACCTGGCAGTGTTTTGTTCTGTTGCACACAGGGTTGCTGTTGAGTCAGAGCCAACTCAATGGCACCTAATACAACAACAGCATAAGGTTCATACTATAAATGATTATCCTCTGTTTCTAAAAGTTAACTACTTAATTTTACCAAACTGTTAATTTTCTCTCCACAGGTTAGTTGAAACATTAAAGAGCAGACAGTAAGTGGACTACTTCTGTGCCTCTGAAGTGAAGGTTATATACCAGATCCCTCTGGATACAGTCAAGGGTGTGTCACACTACTCAATGTTAAAAACCACAAGATGGCATATACTGGAGTGACTGCAGTGTTTGTAATAAATATGAAAATGGAGGGGTAACTCATCATGATTGAACCAACTGAATGTCTTTTCTGTGTAATATAAAATACTCCTTCTTTCCTTCCTTGTGTTAAAACATAAATTCTATTTGTATGGAATTCTGTTTTAAATACAGCCCTACTGAAGTATTCATTCTTGTTGGGGGAAGAAACTCTTATTTTTGAATTAGTGGTTGAAGTGTTGTGTACACTAATAAATATCTTGACTCAGATTCTTTTTCCCCTAAAATGAATTTAGTGTTCCCGAAGATTAGACTCTGTAGAGTAGACTAGGAACATAGTATTTGTGTAATATAATCTTCGTTTTTGCTTAACTGATTATATTAAGTTGTTCAGTTTAAAAGTTTTTGGCTGTAGGCGTGAATTTAAAATCATTATTTTAGTGGTTAACTGCACTGACTTACCTGTAATGGTCATTTTATAGAACTTTACCGTCTTCAGAACATCTTTTACTTACAGTAACCTAGTTGATCTGAGTAAGGAACCCTGTGAGATAGGTGGGGCAGGCTGTGATTCTTCACTTAATGGATGTGGGTCCCAGGCTTCAGTAGGTAGGCTTGCATATAGGGTCACATGCTAGTGAAGGGAACAGTTCAAAGCAGGATTTCTATCCCATGTCCTACATCATAATGTTGAAAATGCCAGGATTGGCGACAAAGACAACACTTAAACATAATTATGCTAATTGAGGTAGTCATAGTAGTTCAAGGTAAGGTCTTCTAGTGGAGGGGGTGAACAATTCTTTGAACTTTTATATGATGGAATTTACAACACATTAAAGAACAAAAATTCTCATTAAAATGAAAAAAGACCTACCTTTGGAGGCATTGCATTCCTTTTATTGTAATTGAATATATAAATTGATAAAAAGTCAAAAATTTTACTGGTCTAGGACAAATGTATTCCTGGTTTGAAAAATTAGGCTTACTATTAAGCTATCAGGTTGAAAAAACAAACTATTCATGCAAATAAGGAATTTTGCACACTACCCAATCCACCTAGAATGCGCTATACTGTGATAGAATTAAAAAAAAACAACAACATTCTGATGGCATAGTGGTTAAAGCATTTGGCTGCTGACCAAAAGGTCACCAGTTTAACCCGTCAGCCACTCCACTGGGGAGAGGAGAGGCCGTAAAAATTACGGCCTTGGAAACCCTATGAGGCTGTTCTGCTTTGGCCTATGGGGTTGCTAGGAGTCAGAATTGAGTTGATGGCAGTGGGTGGCAGAAGCGAATATAAAAAAACAAACCATATCTCTTGCCATCAATCGATTCCAACTCCTAGTGACTGCATAGGGTTTTCCCTATAGGGTTCCCAAGGCTGGAATCTTTAAGGAAGCAGACTGCTTCATTTTTCTCCCTCAGAGACGCTGGTGGGTTCAAGCTTCCAACCTTTCAATTAGCAGCCAAGCACTTAGCCACTGTGGCTCTAAAAGTGATGTTGTTATATGCCGTCGAGTCAGATCCAACTCACAGAGACTCCTCCTTGGGTTTCTGAGGCGATATCACTACAGAAGTAGATTGCCCAACCTTCCTTCCAAGGAGTGGCTGGTGGGTTTGAACCGCCAGCTTTCTGGTTAGCTTCTGGTTAGCAGTCAAGTGCCTTAGGCACTATGCTACCACAACTCCCCTAAAAATGATAGGAAGTAAATATAGTCATTGATCATTACTAAAATTGAGGGGGGAATATTATTTAAAATTGATTAGCCAGCAACATTTAAAAATTTGGGCCTGGTGAAGAGAGCTAACTGTCTAGTGCCCTCCAGAGATGAGAACACTCGTGCTTGCTTTCCCATCTCTGCCGCTGCCCTTTCTGATGGACTCTAGCTCAGCATTGGCCTCTAAGCTCAAATGAATGCCACCCTCTCTCCATCTGATGAAACTTAACTCTTTACTCACTCCCCAAGACCCATTTCAAATTTGGTCTCTGAAATATGTTCCCTGTGCACATAATATTAACTGGATGTGGCGTGTTGTTTCATAGACTCCAAGTTACTTCTGATGGGAAGGACGGTCTTTTATATCCCTAGTTGTGTTTTTATTTTTTTAGTAACTGGTACAGTATGGTTCCTTAGCATATGTACGTAGTTGAAATAGTTGGGTATGTATTTTTCAGGTAAATGGTACCTATAATTTTATTTGGTTTTCCTTCTGATTGATCAGTGGCACACAGCTGGGGATAACTGGGATTAAGGATGCAGCCAATGGCACAAGAAAACAAATTCATCTCCATGCTGAGGTGGGGGCTTGTTCCCAAGTGGCTGAGTACTCAGTGGTCAGGAACACTGACGAGTAGATGTGGGGGAGGAGAGCTGGCAGGCAGATGCTGGCTTGTACCTGACTCTTGCTGCCTTAAACTGAGGGCTTGAGGGTATGAATCTGATGCAAAGGGCAGCACTTGGATTCTTCTGGTTGATCACGAAGAAAGGATTACATAAATAGGGTGTACATTTATTTTTAATAAATTATTAAGCAGAGTAAGTGATAAGGCAGCTCCTCTAACAGGAAACAACTGCACAGGTACGTTACAGGAGTTTATTGTTATTTACAAAATAAATGTCCACTGAATATTGTTTCGTGAGATGTTGACGGGAAAAGGACCAAACTTGAAATCGACACAGTTCAGGGCACAAACTGCAACTCCTTCAGTTTCTTTTCTACAAAATAAGAGAAGAGACTTGGACAAATGATACCAAAGGTTTCTTTGAGCTCTCAAACTGTTTCATAACTCTGGTTGGTGGTTGTGCTGTGTCATGTGATCACACTGTCTGTTATCAAAACACGAGAAATCAGTGGAATTACTTTTGTCGTCAGAGTACCTGAAATGCACTTTAAGTTGTGGAAATGTAAGCTCCTTGAGAGCAGTAACCGTACCTTATTACTGTTGGTATCCCTTGCATCTAGTGTGGTGCACTTGGCACATAGTAGGCATTCAATAAATATTTATTGATTTAAATCAAATTGTGCTCTAAGATATTTACTTTCTTTGATCTTTGCCATTAATACTTGCTTTATGCTGATTTCACTTTTTCTTTTTTAATCAAAGCAATAAGCGCATGCACTTAATTCAAAAGGTTTGGGGGGAAAAACCGACAGAAGCAGCCACTTGCAACTCTTAGCTTTACCTCCACATTTTTTGTTTAATTTGCTTAAGCCTGTAAATCTTGGTTTTATGTTATGACTTCTGTCATGGTGAAGTATAAGCTCTCTTAGAAGCCCTCTCTCCTCTCCTCACCCCTTCACATCTACAGACGCTTCCACCTTCATCTTCCAAAAAGCCATGTCCCATTTGTCAATTTAGCAGGTCAGTGTCTGCATTACGACTGTAAACATTTGTTAACTGCAACACCAAATAGTGTATTATGATTATATACACAATTATTTTCTTCAGAATTAAGTTACTTGGTTTTTTAATTGCTCAGATTACCATTTTTGTGGATTGAATTGCATCCCTAAGAGGATATGTTGTCTTAACCTCTGAACCTGTGAACTAGACCTTGCTTGGAGATAGGGTCTTTGACATGTTACCAGGTAGGTTTACGTGGGGTCATCAAGAGTAGACTGGGTCCTAAAGCCTTCTCAGTGGGGTCATAAAAGATCCATCCCTCTGATCTCTGCTTCCACTGTCACATGGCCTTTCCTCTGTGTTACTTCCCCTACAAATGTATATTGGATGAGGACCCACTCTAATTACCTCATCTTAACTTGATTTGCAAAGACCAAAGAAGAATTGATGCAATTTGAATTGTGTTGGCAAAGAATATTGAAATTACCACAGAATGCCAGAAGAACAAATTTGTCTTGGAAAAAGTAGAGCCAAAATGACTCTTACAAGTGAAAATTAGTCAGACTATTGTCTTTTTGTATTTTGTCATCTTGTCAGAAGAGGCCAGGCCCTGGAGAAAGATATGCTTGGTAAAATAGAGGGTCAGCAAAAAAGGGGAAGACCCTCAACAAGATAGGATTGATACAGTGGCTGCAATGGACGCCAGCAAAGATTGTGAAGATGGTGCAGGACCAGGCAGTGTTTAGTTGTACATAGGGTACATCTTGACGGTACCTGACAACATTTCCAAATAAGGTTACATCCACAGGTACTAGGGATCAGTACTTCAACCTATCTTTTTTGTGGTCCCAATTCAACCTGTATGTAACACTTCCTTTTTTGTTTTGCTGAAGTAACTTAGAAATGTTAATATAAGATATATATAAATTTATGTATATCTGATAATGTTTTTATTCTAACCTCATGCTAAACTAATTGATAGCTTGGCTGGGTATAGATTGCTAGGCTCAAAATACTTTTCCTTCAAACCTTGACATTTCTCAACTATCCACTAGCAAATAGTGTTGCTATGAGGAGTCTAATGTCTTCACATGGTCTTGCAAAAGACTTGTTTCCTTTGTGCATACTTTTAGGATTGTCTCTTACAATGTACTTTCCCAAAGATTTGTGTCTTTCAATGTGCTAAGCACTTGGTACCTACCAATCTATAAATGTTAGAAGAGGCATTCGCCGGTGGACCTTGAACATCCCTGCATAGAGTGAGTCAAACAGCAAGGCCAACTTATCCTTTGACCCTGAATATAGCTAGTCACAGGCAGTTCAGTAGGCCAAAATGAGTGCAAAATGAGCAAACTGCCATGCTACTGCTTGCTCCCCATGGAAAGGGGGCTGACTTGTTTATTGAGCCTTACTTAGCCCTGGCTTCTGCAGCTGTGTCACAATCTGCTGTGTGCATTGCTGTCATCTGGGTTCACTGAGTCAGTGTTGTACTTGGGGACAAGGGAACCAGTGTTACCATACTCAAGCCCTGCTCTTAGTTTTGCTGCGAGCAATAAAT